TATGAATATGTCTTGAATATGTGGATAACAAATGATGAAGTGTTCGTGTTTATTGATTCCTATAATGAGACTAAGCGAGACATACGGCAAGGTACTAAACAATCCTGCGAGGGACGATTCCAGGGAAAGAGGGAAGGGAACTTTTGTGTACTGTGCGAAAAGCGAGACCCTTACCTCCATATAGTGGCCTGGCGAAGAACTTCAAGGTGTTCACTTCAGTACGAGCAATGAGGGAGCATTTGGTGAGTAATAAGAGAGTAAATTCGAAAAGTTCATGGTGCGCTCACTTTTTACTCCCCAAACGCTAGGAATTTTCTAAGAGTGTAGGACCGATTACGCCTGATGTGCCAGGGCTGTTTTCCTGCGTGTAAGCATTTAGGGGAAAGTTAGAATGAAAAATAGGGAATTTTCGATAGGAGTAAATGGTGAAGAGCCGCCATGATACCAACCAGTATGGCTTTCAATTGTAGCGCGCATGCTTTTACTGTTCCTATGGGCGTGCCATCTCCGGTTTTTTTTTCTTAGCTCAGTGGTCGAGTCGGCCTGAATGGAAGGGTCCTTGTGGACATCATGGTGACAGGATGATGGAAAGTCTTTGGATTCTGCTGTCTACAGGTATCCAGTCAGCCTCTAGGCCGCAGAAGTTCGCAAGTGGTGGGTCGCGACCCGCTGGAGGCTGAAAGATTAAATGCAAGTGAAAGAAAGATTGGGAGTCACTGCTTTAGGGTAAAAGAGGAAATAAGAAACACTCGTACTATCCGCACTTGTGTTGAGGAAGGAGCAGGGAATCATCATTCATTCTCGTACCACTTTTCTCCTACTGGGAGTTGCACATACAGGGTGGCCCAAAAAAGGGGGCACTCTTTTCAATGTGCAATTTTTAGGTGTGATGCTTTCAATTAGTTTTTTTTTCCGGCTACATGTAATGGAGAGAAGAAAGACTTAGCTACAAAATCCTTTTTTCAGACTTGAAATTCGTTAAAGGGTGACTTAGAAAAAAAGTAATCAATTTCGGTTACGAAAAATCGGCGTTACGCTCACCGACTGCATACGGCGGCAAGCACATCCGATCATCTTCGCGACGTCTACTGAGGTCAGCGTTTCCCTTCTCCTTTTCGTGAATGTCAGGACGTCGGGTGGATTTTGGGTCAAGTTGGTGAGCGCAACGCCGATTTTTCGTAACCGAAATTCCATAATTTTTTTCTAAGTCACTCATTAACGAATTTCAAATCTGAAAAAAGGATTTTGTAGCTAAGTCTTTCTTCTTTCCCTTACATGCAACCTGAAAAAAAAATCATTGAAAGCATCACATCTAAAAGGCGCATTGAAAAGAGTGCCGTTTTTGGGCCACCCAGTATGTAGCCTGCGTTCCACAACCTCGACTATGAGAACTAGAAAATCAACAAGGATTCTCCAGAATCCTCATTCGATGTGGACTCTTTTCAACCCCATTTTATCGTTTCAGATGTCATATGATACAAATAAGTCACATTTATTGCGTACGTGCTATTAGGTTTCGAGAAGGTCGTGATAGATTCATTCCTCCTTTTTCTTTTGCGAAAAAGATAAATCGATTTATTCGGGCATGCAGAATGGTCTGGAATCTCCCCTGACTTGGATGTGGCTGAGAACATTGGGACTATCTTGGAATAGAGAGTTGAGGCTCGAATGCGCCCAGAAGTCGAGCGACATGGATTCCCATGTGAAACATGAAAACAACATTACCACTATTAAATGACATGGAAGATGACACGAGACTCTTTAAGCGTCAGCTCTCATCTTACACCACTCGTCTTGAAGCTGTCAGAGACACAGACGCACAAATTATAAAAAGTAAATAGATTCGAAAATGAATGCTTTTTCTTATGGTGTCAGTTTCATTTCCAGCTCTTGTATTGGGGCTGTGGATGGAGGGGGGGGGGGGGGGGGGGGGGGCATTTTCCGGGT